CTTTTCACAGACATACAGTAAAACTGGATTGGATCATTCAGAGATTCTAACTGAACCTCTGGAGAGAGTTTGCTGCTGTGAAAGTAAATACTTTTGCACACCCAGTTTTTCAGTTTGGTGTTTGTTTAAAAAGTTTAAAATATCCAATAAATATCATTCCACTTCATGTTTGTATCCCAATTGTTGTTGATTCTTCACAAAAACCGGCGACCCGGTGGACCTTAAGTGGGGGTAATAATTCAGAATGCATAAAATTCCACCGGTAAAATTTTTACCAGCAGGTGGAGCCTGCTGACACCAAACGTTCCAGATCCCACAGCTCTGGAACTGTTTTAGCTGGAGGTCTGAAATTTTCTGCATCTGTGGTTGACATGCTGTAGAACAAACATAATACAATAAAACCCGTGTTATGACTCCTTGTTGGTCTAGGGGAGTGGGGGCATAAACATATAGGCAGAAACTGGTACGTTCTTATAAAATTATGATCTATTTGATAACAAGAGGTGTAAGCAATAAACAAACAAAAGGAGGGTGGTGTGAAAATAACAAAGTTAAATAAAAGAGATCCTCAAAAGGAGGATTAAGTCCAACTACAGATTTAAACAAAGGGGATTCTTACTAAAAAACACAGAGAGCACAGCATCCACTACACCTAATGTAACTAACAAAGGAAAACTCAGTGATGCAATCAGTGAAGACTCTGGCCCTACCTCCACCCTCTTTCTAGCCTCAAGCTAGTAAAGATGCACATAAGCCAAACACAACAAGATATACTGACACAAGCTACTAGTGATGTTATGAGATGAGCCGAGGCTTCGAGGCGTGTGTCGAGTAATGGAGGGGGCGTTTCGCCGAAGCGCGTGTCGAGGCGTGATTCATTAAGAGGAGGGGCCAAAATTGATGACGTCCGAGGCCTCGCTACCGTGATACCACGTGACAGCTTCGGTATGTGGTTCGGGAAGCGCACTCCCCCCCCCATAAACACAGACTCCCCACTTTGTGACCTTACTAAACTAGACTTAACCACCCCATTTTTTTAATGATGAATTCAGGCTAGATAAGGCATCTGCCATAACGTTTTCAGAACCTTTCTTATGCTGTATGTCCAGATTGTACTCTTGTGAGATTAGCGGCCACCTCATTAGCCTCTGATTATGATTATACATGTGGGCTAAGAACACAAGTGGGTTGTGGTCTGTATAAACTACCACTGGCAAATAATAGGAACCAACATATACCTCAAAATGCTGTAAGGCCAAAAACAGAGCAAGGGTTTCTTTTTCAATGGTCGAATTGTTTAGCTGATGTCGATTATACTTCTTTGAGAAGTAGCTTACTGGATGGTCTATACCCTCTACATCTTCCTCCAAAAGCACGACACCAGCTCCCATGGCACTGGCATCCACCTCCAGCTTGAAGGGCTTGGAAAAGTCCTATTATAATGGCAGCCAGAAATGTAAAGAGTGCAGGCAGAAATAAATAGTGGCGAAGAAATAACTAGGGTAAAAAAATACAAAGGAAGAATAAAACAGACAAAAATATTATAAAATGCACTTACATAAATACTTAAAAATATAAGTAATTAAAAAATGAAGTTGAAGATAATAAATGACAAAAAAATAAATAAGGTAAATATTAAAAAGGCAAAGAAATAAAGAAGCCAATTAAAAGAGTTATATACCTTTATGACTAGCTGTATAATTTAATTTCTACTTACATTTATTTGTTGTTTGTATTTTTGGTGGCAATTAATTGTATGCTTATTTATTTATTGAGCATTTATTTATTTCTGTATTTATTTTTAAATATGGCAGAGTTGGTCCTCCATACTGCTGTATCAACAAATCAACAAAAAGGCGGGTTCTGTATGTTACATCAAAATCTCCAAAAATCTGAAAAGAAGCAACATAAAAAATACATTTTGCTTGTGAGTAGGTTCATACAGGTCATTTCTGGATAGTTTCATACTATATATACAAAAAAGAAACAACAACACTGCTTCATATTAAGCAGGATTTACACCAGTATCACATTTTTAACTTTTAACACTTTTGGTTTTATTAAAGGAAATATCTGATTTTCTGAGGTGCCAAAACAAAATGTAACAGCTCTGTAAAGGTTCACCAGAGAGCATAACATAAAGTTAACATGCCTATAACAGCTGATGCAGTGATTTCCATGTTGCTCAGCAAAACGCTTCACAAATTTATTTAGATCCAATGCCTTTGTGCGTTTTGATTTGAGTACAACCAAAAAGGATCGTCTCTTTTCTGTCATAGTTGACCGCAAATATGTCTTTATGAGCCTGAGACGTCAGGCCTAACTAACATCATAGTTAGAGAAATAACGTTCTGCAACCTGATTTTTATCATCTCAAAATCAGCATTGCAGCTATGCTTGCAACATTGTGCTTTCATTATGATTTCATTTCTCGATAGTTAATCAGTTTTTACCTGTTTCATCCCGTTTCTCCTCTCCCCATCTCCCCTGGCTCCCTCGCTTTGCCCCATTCGGTTTTCAAAACAATCAGTCTCAGTCGCTCTCTGTCATCTCGTGCTGCATTCACTGCAGTCCGACATTAGAAATTAGCGGTCGTAATTCTCAAATTATCCATAATTTATAAGCCTCGCCACCCCTACCGCCAGCTGGGGTGGCAGCAGGGGTGGGAAGGCTGTCATTTAGGGTGGCATTTGCCACCCTATGCCACCCCAGTAAATCCTCCTATGGCTATTTCCATAGAGGATTCCAAAAACAGAAAATTAAAAACAATCCACTGGACATTGTTTCACAGTTTGAAGAAGTTTTGCTTCCCATTCAGGAAGCTTTTTCAATTCAAAATGTCAGGAATAGCGTGGAGTTGGAGGTTTTATACAGTAGCCCAACAAAGCCTTGTTTTGTTTGACAAATGTGCATTCCACATATCTAAACCAATGGCTTGGTGGTGTTCCTCTGAAGATGTCCAAAGCTTGCTTTTCCATTTCTTCCACATAAAGATTGGCTACAATTGGTGACACCGGAGATCCCGTGGCACAACCATGCTTCTGTCTGTGAAAATTATCCCTGAACTTGAAATAGGTTGTGGAAAGACGAAGGCCCGGGGTGACATTAGTCCTGTTGTTTAGGTCACTGTCTTGTTGAAGATGTTTCCTGACTGTTTCCACTGCCTCTGATATAAGTATGCAAGTGAAAAGAGAAGTAATATCAGAAGACACCAGTGTTTTTCCTGGTGCCATCTTTAAATCTTTGACCTTGTTTGCAAAGTCTTTGGAGTTTTCTATGTGGTGCAGTGTGTTTCCCAACAAGGGGGCTAAAATATTAGTAAGCTGTTTAGCAATGTTAAATGTTACTGAGTTAATGCTGCTGACAATGGGTATGAGTGGTGTTCCTTCCTTTGAATTTTTAAAAATCCATATAAGCATGGAATGTCCTCCCCTAAATAAAGCTGAACAAAAGACAATTACTTTGTCTCTTTCGAGATTCTTGAAGTAGTCCGTGATTTTCTTTTTGTAGGCGTTGGTTGGATCTCTTTTCATTTTTTTTTGGTGTCACTCAGAAGAGTGAGAATTTCGTCCTGGCAGTCGGAAGTGTTGAGGACCAAGGTGCATCTTCCTTTGTCTGCAGGTAATATTGTGATGCTTTGGTTCCATGAAGGATACTCCTCCCATGGCTGTTCATCATACAACCAAGCTTATTTGGGATCATTGCTGCTGTAGTATACTCCAGCTGTTTGGTTTCAGTGATAGTCAAAGTAGGGATTTTCCATAGTGCTGCAGAGGTTACTTCATGTAGTCTTGGTAATCAGTTCTGGGTGGTCAAGGTTTCTAACTTAGCCAGAATCTTATATTTCAGTTCAGCTGCTATGGAACTCAATGTACCAGTCATTCGTGGGGCTTATTACCCTGTTTCGAAGTGTAGAGATGATGATATTGATGATATCTCCCATATAATCTTACACCCAGATTCCTTTTTGCTGTAACATTTGTATTTTACCTTGTCAGTCTTGGGTTGCGATAACAGATGCTTCTTGCAGATGTTGGAATCTTGAGCTGCTACTTGTTCGATGTCAGTCTGGATGTTGGGTGTCTAAGAATCCATAGCTCCCACATTCTTTTGATGTAACCCCTTTCACTTGGTTTACATGCGTAATAGCATTCCACCAATTCCCCATTTTAATTGCATGTCAACTTGTTTCATATCCTTGTATGATAGATAGATAGATAGATAGATAGATAGATAGATAGATAGATAGATAGATAGATAGATAGATAGATAGATAGATAGATAGATAGATAGATAGATAGATAGATAGATAGATAGATTCCTCTTCTGTACCTCATTGGCTATCTGATCTTCTGGTCCGTGAACTTGGTTCTGCTACGACTTCAGCTCGGATATTCCCTTCAGGACACTTTTGCCCCTAGGCGTCGGCTGGCATCAGCTCCGCTCATTACCTCGCTCAGGGGGCAGCGCCCGCAGTAAGCAGAGGACATCTCCCTCTCTGATTCACTTCCTTCTTTTGGGATCGGACTGAGCTCTGAACCATGTCAGTGACTATTGCTGTTAGTCGTTATCAGCCTTTCTTTCTTAGTCACTGATCTGAGTTTCTGTTTGCTACAGAGGACCCGGTTTATCCGCTCCAGCTGACAGGCAGCCGCACGCTTATGGTTAATAAAGACTTGTTTAAACTCATTCAGATCTGTCTGTTATGAATATTGGGTCCAAGGTTCCGAGACTTCTGACATAGATAGATATAAGTTGCTACTATAAGACAAAATAATATTATATATTTTGGTTTATGAATGGATCTGATCTCCTTTCTAAATGCTCCAAAAGTTGTATGTCAGTGTGTGAGTAATTTTTCCTTTTAACCTATAGTGCATTATCTTGGTGTTTCAATCTTACTAATGTCTACCTGTATGCACAATGCTATATGGGTACTTTTTTTTATCTAACAGCTATCCTATCTGGTAGGTCAAGTAAAGACAAGGAGACATGTAGGGCACATTTAATAGTTTAATTATAAGCTGCTGTATACATTCAGTGATTATTCCAATTTTTATGTTGCCAGAAGCATGGGTGAGACCAGTAAAACATTCAGCCACAGGATCTAGTGTGTTGTATGCACTGTCCATTTTCACTCATTGACTTCCACATTGTATACTACTGTGCACTGCAAAGAAACATGAAACAACACTGACGTGCAGTGTGAATCTTCCATGATCTTTGCTAATTCTTACATGATTACACCCAGTCTGTTGTGTGGTGCTCATTGGAGGAAAGAGCCCTGTGACAACCACTCACTGTAAACTCTACCTCATCTTGGAGATCAGCTGAACACACGGCGTATGGTGACAGCAATGCTGATTAAAGCAAGTCTGTGTGTCAGGAAATCATTTGAATTTAAGTCCAGCAGTACACGCTGGAGTTAAAGGTGTAAAACTGTAACAGCCTAGTCCTCGTGAGATAGTTAGGATCATCAACATCCTGCAGACAGTGGCGTTGGTTTTACAACAGTTTTGGTTACTTTTGCTATCTCACTCTAAGCTCATCGGACGGACACACTAATGTTGGTGCTGAGATTGCTTTTTTTCTTATTTTTTTTGTATTTTTTTTGTTTTCTAGTAGCCCACACAGAAACTGGATGGCACAAGAACTGACCAATAAGAAACTCTTTACAACAAGGTAGACTGCAAGTCAACGGTTGCCAGGGTTCACACAGTAAGCAAATAACAAAAAAAAATTCAATTTCATAAAAAAGAAAAAAAAATCAAGATTCATATAAAAGCAAAAGACAAATGAACAGAAAGCAAGTTAATTTCAAGTATAACTTACTCATAAAATAACTACACGGCATTAAATATTCTCATTATACATTTTAAATTATTTATAAAATATATTTTCGCATATATGTTTTTTTGTTATTTTCGTGTTTGTGTAACAAACGCTACCATAGCTTCAGTTGAACACCAATGTTTATTTGTTTTTTTTCCTTTTGAAACAAAACATTAAAGGGATTGTCACATAACAACAGGTTATTAAAAATTATAATAGTAAACCCTATACAGAGTTTCACATAGCAAGACATGAGTGACGATCCCTTCTATCCTAGCCCCATAGTCAAAAGTCAAAAAAAGTACAAGACCAAAAGCACAAAGCTCTAATTTGTGCTCCACTGGCTACAATCAAGGTTGGGCACAGGAGATTTCAAAAGCAGTAAAGTCTTTTTATTTGTTTCATACAACTTGTTCTGAACACAAATATCGGTCTGTCCCAGTTCCGGTGTTCAGAGAGGCTTGGCAGGCGGTGCTCCTTTAGCTCAATCGATGATAAAATAAACTTTAGAGACCTCACAGTCTGATGATACCAGGTTGTCCTCAAGGGCAAAGCAAAATGTTTATCTTATAAGTCAGGCATATGAAAATGTGACTGACTGTTGTTCATGCTCCTGAATGCACCATGAAGGAGCAAATGATCAACAAGTGTTTGGATGAATCCTGCGTAAGTATCTGTGGTTGTTTATTACAGTGTCAAAACTCACTATCAAAGGAATAAAGAGCGATTTTAGCAGCTAAAACTTACTGCAAAACCAAAGAAGGCAAATGTCAGTTTTTTCATATAAAAGTGGTTGAAAAGGCATAACTGTATGTAGGAATTGGCACCGCATGTGTCCAAACATGTAGTGTCCTGCTTTGGCTCAAGGGCGGGGGGAGCTCCACTGGCCGCATCCATGCAGTCAACAGTATCCTGCCTGTTTACTCAACTCTGACAGAAAGGAAAATTAACAAAAGCAAACAAGTAAAAAGTACTGCGACTACAAAGCCACATCCACTACCTGGTCTTGAGCACACAACTAACTGCAGCATACTACAGTTCATCATCATCAGCCCAAGCCGGATCTGGAGTTTTGGATTCTGCAAATTGGTGTGTCTTTACACTTCCATAGCCTGGCTGTGTACACACAGCTATTGCGGGGTAAATATATATATGTGAGTTTACACTGTATATGTGTGTGCATGTTGGAGTGTCGTCAAGATGCTTGCTAAAGTACAATGTCCTTTAGGCGCTTGCTACTTGGGGACTCTTTGTCTCGGCCGTCATGCAGGAGTGTGTTGATCTCCCTGACAGCCGGCTCACTGTCCTTTCCTTCAGGCTGTCGCAGCAGACTGTGGTTTGCAATTCGCTCTGCATCGCGACATTTCAGTGTATTGTAGGAAGATGATGCCTTGGACACCGGGCTTTTCAGATGCACGGGAGAAGTAATGGGGCTGGCAGCCTCACGCCCATTGCCAGCTTCACGAACAGCCCCTCCGTTGGCCTTAGGACTGCACACTTGTGACTCCTGAGTCCGCTTCCCTTTTATCTCTCCCCGTTCAACATCATCTGGCCCATCCTTGCCAAAGGTGGCAAAAGTCCTCTTGATTGTGCCGTCCTCATAGTGCGGCACCTCAACAGTGGTAGCTTCGATGGAGAGGGCGATGACATTACGTGCGTGCTCGGGTGACTTGGCACGTGCAGGGACAGAAACCCGAGGCATCCAGCAGCGATCAGAGTGGCCTAGGATGCGGCACTCGTCCTGGCAGTGAAAGCCCTCTCCAGGATCTGTAGACAAAGAAAAAAAAAGTTTGTTGGATTAGTCTACATTTCGACAACCTTTTTTATGATAGTTTACATAATTCTTATGCTTATGCTCAAATCATTCATCAGGTAGTAGATGTAATTACGCATCACAGCCCATCTACCAGAGATAGATAATAAAACTGAGAAAGGAAGATTTTGAATTTTTGTATTTACTACATGCAGAGGGTAATTATGAAGTCCCCCCTCTCTTCTAACCATCAGAAGTTACTTTATCAGGAAGTTTATCTGAGTCACTGATTCCCTGCCATACTTTCTAAGAGCAGTAGTTTATTTCTTTGGACAAAGATAAAGAACTAAATAATTTCAGTACAGCTTAATTAAAAATGGATCCTAAAAAGCTTGAATAACATGTTACAAAAGCTCAATAAAAAAAAAAAAATGTCGACTTTTACAGAAACCAATCATGTCCTTTTCTGTTGTATGTGTGGGATGTTCACACACACACACACACACACACACACACACATATATATATATATATATATATATATATATATATATATATATATATATATATATATATTAGGGATGGGACGATTTATGAAAATCGTTCGGTTCGACTGTCTCGGTTTGGTTCGCGTGTGTTTTGTTCGGTTCATGCGCTGCTCCTTTTTCTCATAGAGGAAGCGATTACACTCCAGAGCAGAAGGTGGCGGTACTGCGACCAAAGCCAACCGCCAGTAGTAAACAAGAAGAAGAAGAAGCGAAGCAGCTTAGTGTAGTGTAGCAGAAAAAAATCAGTTGTTGTGGAGAATTGTGTCGGACTGGCGAGTGGGAAAGAACTGGAGTCGGAAGACGCGCCAGCAGCACTTTATAGGTCTGCTGTATGGGAGCGCATTGCATTTAGAGTGACCTACGATGACAGCGGAAACAAAGTTGTGGATAAAAGTGCAACAGTGTGCAAGCATTGTGCAACACGTTTTGTTTATGCTAACAGCAACATGTCATGCTAACCCCGAAATCCCTCATACTCCGTCAGCAACCCCCGCTCCGCCCCGCTGCGCTCCAGACCGGCTGCTCAAAGCCTACAGCCCCCGCTGTGGCATCGTCCGCTCCCCTCTGAGTTCCTTGGAGATGGTAGAGAGCATGTAACCTGACAACAGCCAGATGCATGAGCAAGACATGCATCTGGCTGTTGTCAGGTTAGAGAGCACGCGCCAGATGATTAAATTCAAAGCAGCAAAACATACGGAAATGATCCAGGGTTTCCGCGGATCATTTAAAATAAATACAATCGATTATTTTTTGGTGGATTTTTTCATTAATTTCATAATTTTTTATGGAATTTCGGTGTAACAATCAACATGTATCGAATCGAACCGAAAACCGTGACCAGAAACCGTGAATCGAACCGAACCGTGGATTTTGTGAATCGTTCCACCCCTAATATATATATATATATTTATATATATATATATATATATATATATATATATATATATATATATATATATATATATATCTTTTCAACCTCCAGATGTAGTTTCGCTAACACTTCATTTTATGTATCATTACCAAATGATAGACAAAAGGAAGGTTTAAACAGTGCAATGAGATATCCCACAGAAAGACACCAGACAAGTTGTACCATTGCTGCCTGGTTCATATCTCTTCCTCGCTCTCTGTCTCTGTCATCTGGCGCCGAGTTATAAATATGTAATGATGTTTAACACTGGAGCTAGAAAAAAAAAGTCTGAGTCTGTATAGCTGTGGTGCACTTCGTTGTGTTGGTGGGTACTTCCAAGAGCATTGTGCATCGTTGTTGGAAAAAAGAAAATACTATGATCACTCATTTAAATTAATATGTTTTTCTTCATAACAATTGAGTATCTTGACCATCAAAAAAGGCTCAGCAATGTGGTTTTTATAATCAGAATATTTGACATGTTTGTGGCAAAAAGTACTTAAACATTTTTAATTAATGACAGTACGACCTTTCATGTTTCAAAATCTCTTTTAGTAGCCATAGTATTTTGTTTCTCCAGCTCTAAGTCTAAAAATGAACCTGACGTGCACATACACTTGACATATTTCTATGTTCCCCTACTTATTTTTTCGCCCACAAGCAACAGCCATCCACCATTTCAAAAGCACAAAATGACAAAAAAGGAATTGTGAGAGACGGATTGCCATCGACCCAAATGCATATGTTTACATCGGGCAATCCCGGTTTGAAAGATCACCTAATTAAAATCACTAATGATCTGTTTTTTTCCACACTCGTATGAGACACCTCTGCTAAAGCCCTAGGGATCAATATTTAAAGATCGGAGACAGGCTTTTTCAGGGGCAGATATGTCAGAGCTGTCTCTCATAAAGTATAATCTGATAGTGCTGACAGATAACACTGAAACTAAATGACTGAATAAAGTGCCAAAAGGCGATCAAAGGCTATCTGAGCTCAAATATGTTGGAGTTAAATTCTAGGCAGAAAATAAAAGAACCAGCACCAAGAAGACAAGTCATAAGTGACTTATAGACACTACATTTATTTAAGGATTTCAGACTGAATCAACACACTGCAACGCACTTATATACATTTACTAACTTCGTAGGAATAATCTGTAATGTCCAGAGTTACAACTCCATGCATTCCAGTACCAACCAGTTGCTTTACATCCTGAAAAACTGCAACATTTCTTCTCTGTGTATACCATTATTGACTGTAAAAGGACTTCTATTGACAAGACAGATTACTAGATAGGCTTGGGTTTCTTAAAGCTTTAAGGATCACATTATAGGAGTGCTCCTTCGTTACCTGTTGTTTTGCATAATTTATTAAAAGAAGGCTCCTGCAAGTTTCTTTTGCATACAAGTAAGAAATAATGTCAATGTTTCAGTGCGCCATCCTAAAGTGATGGAACGTTATACATGTGGGAATGTGAAAATTCATGTAAAATCTTGTGTGACTTATTAGGAAAAGCAGATTTTTTCCCAAATTATTAAAAATTTACAAGCATCTTGGTTATGAATGCAATTTCCTCTAAACACTTTGGCTTATTTCTATAGCCCAAAGCATCCTCTGGGGCATGAAAAGCCTTAAGGCACAAAGAAATATACACAAGTTGCACGCTTGCTGCTTAGCAGTGCTTGCATATGCAGTGAAAGACATTTTCTCTCTCTTTCCTTTAGGGGTCTATCAGATGGCAACTGGGTTGTAAATGACATTGTTATGGAAGCCAAGTGCTATTAACACTCACACATCCTGCCTCTGCTTGGAGCTTCATAAAACGCAGATGTTGCTCTGAAAGATCCACAAGAAACTGAGAGAAAATTTAAATAAAAAAAGTGACAGGCCATCGACCTCTGACAAAGCATAATCTCTTCCTATTTCAAGTAAAACGAGCCAAGTGAAATGGAAAGAGATGAATTGGGGGCTTTTACAGCAGCACCAGTACAGAACAGAAGACAGTGAAGTCACCTCCTGCTGAGAATATGTATTTAAAGTCATTATGCAAAGTCAGGAAATAGGCTTGCCTATCAGTAAGAGATTTAAAGTAAAGAGCAAGGCAGGATGTAAGTGGGAACATTCCTGTTTGCAGATTTAACACCTATTAATTACTAAGTGTCTTTCACTAAAAGACAAACGTTGCTTTCCTTTTGCTGTACATTATTCAAGCACTTAATACACATTAGAATCTAATGGTATTGCAACCGAGAAAAAAAAATACTTATAGATACAGCCGTACCTTCAAATTGGAGGTACTACATTTGAAAACAGATTGGTTGACAAAAGGTTAGTCCAGCGAAGGAACCTCCACTGCATGCAAGTATAACAAATTATGCCATTTCAAGAGCCAAAGACAATCCCCCTTACCAGCAGCACTATTTAAAGTGCTCTTCCTGATTGTAGTAAAAAAAAAAAATAATAATCTTATGCATCTCCACATTATGGAAAACTACAAATTCTGAGGTGTTTTTGTCTTCCTTTTGGCCTTTGATGCAGATTCAAGCCTCACTCATTCCCACAATCAGGTAAAAGCATCTGCACTTCCAAGTCACAGATCTTTAGCTTCACTGTGGGAATTTTATAACCTTTGTAGCTCAATGCTCACTTTGCCCAAGTGTACTACATATAATGATCCCTTCATATTATTTAGTCTACAGGTACAATTTTCTGCTGCTAATGTGGAAAAAAGAGAAAACAGCTATAGAATTGCTAAATGTAAAACTCTTCCAGCTTTTTCTTGTCCTGTACGGCTCACATACGGACACACTCTTGGGAAGCACAGAAGACCCTATTGTTCTGGTACCTTGTGATAATAAAACATCCACAATACTCATCCCCAAAGCAAGGTCTGCCTCATTAAGCAGTTCCATATCCCTACTTTAGTCCAAGTATAAATGTGAAGGTAAGTGGTTTGGATAAATGTGTATTTTTTGCCTTTTTGTTCCTTCCTTAATTCAATTTCATTGTCATACTTACTCCTTCGTACTTGACCAAATATTGTCAGATTTCTTCGGCATTTTTATTTATTATTTCAATTATTTAGAGAGGTAAGCCAAAACCTAATAGCATGTTATTTTGCAGATGACTTTTTAAAGCCAATTTGAGATTTGTGAAAAGTTTATAATTTGATAAAACACAGGATATTTCTTAAACCTTTTTTGGTTTTAAGATCCCCTTCTATTTAGACTAGCAACAAATTGGCTTTTCAAATCTGGACTTAATGATTCTAATATATCTGTTAATTTGTGATAACCTAAAGGAAAAAAATGCATTTTTAGTTTTCTCTAAACAGTTTCATAATCTCGTCTAGGGAGCCCAATATTGTGTCTTCTCTGCAGTTGGTCATCAATACCCTAGTATATAGTCATGTAAAAGGGGATTAGGTAGAGGTAATTGAAGACAGAAGCAGTACTGAATTTGCCTGGAGTCAGATTTGAGTAGCGAATCCTCTTTGTAGATTTCTTTCTTTAATGAGCTGCATAGCCACAAGTGTGCAGCATGACACAATTCA